AGTCTATAGTCTAGTCTATAGTCTAGTCTATAGTCTAGTCTATAGTCTAGTCTATAGTCTAGTCTATAGTCTAGTCTATAGTCTAGTCTGTAGTCTAGTCTATAGTCTAGTCTATAGTCTAGTCTATAGTCTAGTCTATAGTCTAGTCTATAGTCTAGTCTATAGTCTAGTCTATAGTCTAGTCTATAGTCTAGTCTATAGTCTATAGTCTAGTCTAGTCTAGTCTAGTCTAGTCTAGTCTAGTCTAGTCTAGTCTAGTCGTCTAGTCTAGTCTAGTCTAGTCTAGTCTAGTCTAGTCTAGTCTAGTCTATAGTCTAGTCTAGTCTAGTCTAGTCTAGTCTATAGTCTAGTCTAGTCTAGTCTAGTCTAGTCTAGTCTAGTCTAGTCTAGTCTAGTCTAGTCTAGTCTAGTCTAGTCTAGTCTATAGTCTAGTCTATAGTCTATAGTCTAGTCTATAGTCTAGTCTATAGTCTAGTCTATAGTCTAGTCTATAGTCTAGTCTATAGTCTAGTCTATTCTAGTCTATAGTCTAGTCTATAGTCTAGTCTATAGTCTAGTCTATAGTCTAGTCTATAGTCTAGTCTATAGTCTAGTCTATAGTCTAGTCTATAGTCTAGTCTATAGTCTAGTCTATAGTCTAGTCTATAGTCTAGTCTATAGTCTAGTCTATAGTCTAGTCTATAGTCTAGTCTATAGTCTAGTCTATAGTCTAGTCTATAGTCTAGTCTATAGTCTAGTCTATAGTTTAGTCTATAGTCTAGTCTATAGTCTAGTCAATTGTCTAGTCTATTGTCTAGTCTATAGTCTAGTGTAGTCTATAATATAGTCTATTGTCTAGTCTATAGTCTAGTCTATAGTCTAGTCTATATTCTAGTTTACAGTCTAGTCTATAGTCTAGTCTATAGTCTAGTCTATAGTCTAGTCTATAGTCTAGTCTATTGTCTAGTCTATAGTCTAGTCTATGTCTAGTCTATAGTCTAGTCTATAGTCTAGTCTATTGTCTAGTCTATAGTCTAGTCTATTGTCTAGTCTATAGTCTAGTCTATAGTCTAGTCTATAGTCTAGTCTATAGTCTAGTCTATAGTCTATAGACTAGGCTATAGACTAGGCTATAGACTAGGCTATAGACTAGGCTATAGTCTAGTCTATAGTCTAGTCTATAGCCTAGTCTATAGCCTAGTCTATAGCCTAGTCTATAGCCTAGTCTATAGCCTAGTCTATAGTCTAGTCTATAGTCTAGTCTATAGTCTAGTCTAAAGTCTAGTCTATAGTCTAGTCTATAGTCTAGTCTATAGTCTAGTCTAAAGTCTAGTCTATAGTCTAGTCTATATTCTAGTCTATTGTCTAGTCTATAGTCTAGTCTATAGTCTAGTCTATTGTCTAGTCTATAGTCTAGTCTATAGTCTAGTCTATAGTCTAGTCTATTGTCTAGTCTATAGTCTAGTCTATAGTCTAGTCTATTGTCTAGTCTATAGTCTAGTCTATAGTCTAGTCTAGTAGTCTATAGTCTAGTATAGCCTAGTCTATAGCCTAGTCTATAGCCTAGTCTATAGCCTAGTCTATAGCCTAGTCTATAGCCTAGTCTATAGTCTAGTCTATAGTCTAGTCTATAGTCTAGTCTAAAGTCTAGTCTATAGTCTAGTCTATAGTCTAGTCTATAGTCTAGTCTATAGTCTAGTTTATAGTCTAGTCTATATTCTAGTCTATAGTCTAGTCTATAGTCTAGTCTATAGTCTAGTCTATAGTCTAGTCTATAGTCTAGTCTATAGTCTAGTCTATAGTCTAGTCTATAGTCTAGTCTATAGTCTGGTCTTTGAACTAGTCTATAGTTTAGTCTATAGTGTTTTCTATAGTCTAGTTTATATTCAAGTTTATAACCTAGTCTTTAGCCAAGTCTATAGTGTTATTTATAGGCTAGTCTGTTGCCTAATCTATAGTCTAGTCTGTAGTATTGTCTATAGTGAAGTCCATGGAGTAGTATCTAGCCTAGTCGATGGCTAAAGTCTATTCTTTAGTCGAGTCTATAGTTTAGCTCTTTAGTTCCCTTTCAAAAACCGCTACATAAGCATTACTAAAAAAACTCAGAGAGTGAGAATGTCTTAACATAAGAGCCCCTACTGAGGGACTTCTTGTGTTTGTTGGTTTAACATCTTTTTATGCAAATCAACTAAACATAAATTAATATGTATGTATGTATCTGAAGAGTACTTTAGTGGGGGTCCAGACCAAACCCAAACAAGTTTTTTTTACTTGTCATCCCATAAGTAACACTAAAAATAGCTCTTTTTAAAAAACAAAAAAGGGAAAAAACAAATACAAAACATTTTGTAAAAATTAAATAAAAAGGGGGCCTGGCCTTTTATTTTTCTTACGTCAAACACGTGGCAAACAATAGAAAAAAATACATTTTTAATTTTGGTTTGTTGTTTTATATTCTAATTTGTTGTTATCAGTTAAAACAACAACTATTAAAACAAAATAGTAATATCATTATTGTGGATTGTGGTTGTTGTTTGTTTAATTTTGTTTATGAAAAATATGTTTTCAAAATTTAGCAAAATTTTTATGATTATTTTTTTTATTGATATGCCTTGACTTTGAAACAACCTTTTAAAATGTTTACTTTATGCTTGTTTTGATTTCTGAAACATAAAGTTGATGAAATTAATAAACTTGATTGTTTTACTCTAAATTTTAAATCTACTATTAGAAAAAAATTGTTTTTGTATTTTATTAGTTTTCAGTATTTTGCTATGAAAGAACTTATTAAAATTCTAGTCACGTTACTTTCTAGAACCAAGAAAAATTAATTCAATTGAAGAATATAGTGGTATCTTGACTAAAGTCCAGTCTATAATCAGCACAAGTCTACAATCTTGACAATTGTTTTGACATAGTGAAGTCTTAAGGCTAGTATTTTCTGTAGTCTAGACTACAGTCTAGTCTATAGTCTAGTCTATAGTCTAGTCTATAGTCTAGTCTATAGTCTAGTCTATAGTCTAGGTCTATAGTCTTAGTCTATAGTCAGTCTATAGTCTAGTCTATAGTTCTAATCTATAGTCTAGTCTATAGTCTAGTCTATAGTCTAGTCTATAGTCTAATCTATAGTCTAGTCTATAGTCTAGTCTATAGTCTAGTCTATAGTCTAATCTATAGTCTAGTCTATAGTCTAGTCTATAGTCTAGTCTATAGTCTAGTCTATAGTCTAGTCTATAGTCTAGTCTATAGTCTAGTCTATAGTCTAGTCTATAGTCTAGTCTATAGTCTAGTCTATAGTCTAGTCTGTAGTCTAGTCTATAGTCTAGTCTATAGTCTAGTCTATAGTCTAGTCTATAGTCTAGTCTATAGTCTAGTCTATAGTCTAGTCTATAGTCTAGTCTATAGTCTAGTCTATAGTCTAGTCTATAGTCTAATCTATAGTCTAGTCTATAGTCTAGTCTATAGTCTAGTCTATAGTCTAGTCTATAGTCTAGTCTATAGTCTAGTCTATAGTCTAGTCTATAGTCTAGTCTATAGTCTAGTCTACATAGTCTATAGTCTAGTCTATAGTCTAGTCTATAGTCTAGTCTATAGTCTAGTCTATAGTCTAGTCTATAGTCTATTCTATAGTCTAGTCTATAGTCTAGTCTATAGTCTAGTCTATAGTCTAGTCTATAGTCTAGTCTATAGTCTAGTCTATAGTCTAGTCTATAGTCTAGTCTATAGTCTAGTCTATAGTCTAGTCTATAGTCTAGTCTATAGTCTAGTCTATAGTCTAGTCTATAGTCTAGTCTATAGTCTAGTCTATAGTCTATAGTCTAGTCTATAGTCTAGTCTATAGTCTAGTCCTATAGTCTAGTCTATAGTCTAGTCTATAGTCTAGTCTATAGTCTAGTCTATAGTCTAGTCTATAGTCTAGTCTATAGTCTAGTCTATAGTCTAGTCTATAGTCTAGTCTATAGTTTAGTCTATAGTCTAGTCTATAGTCTAGTCTATAGTCTAGTCCATAGTCTAGTCTATTAGTCTAGTCTAGTAGTCTAGTCTATCTAGTCTATAGTCTAGTCTATAGTCTAGTCTATAGTCTAGTCTATAGTCTAGTCTATATTCTAGTCAATAGACTAGTCTATCGTCTAGTCAAGAGACTAGTCTATCGTCTAGTCAATAGACTAGTCTATAATCTAGTCAATAGACCTGTCTATAGTCTATTTTACAGTCTAGTCTATAGACGATATAGTCTAGCCTATAGCCTGGTATATAGTCTAGTTTATAGTCTAGTCTATAGACATTATAGTTTAGTATATAGTCTAGCCTATAGTCTAGTCTACGATCTAGTCAATAGTGTAGTCTATAGTTTAGTCTATAGTCCAAACTATAGTCCAGCCTATAATCCAGTTTATATGTAGTTTATAGTCTGTTCTGTTGTCTAATTATAGTCTAAACTATGATCCATTTTGTCTGGACTATAATCTAGTCTATAGTCTGCTCGAAATCTTTATCTCTAGTCTACTACTTATGTATGTATATAGTTTTGACTTCTTAAGTATAGCCTATTTTATAGTCGAAGTCAAGGCTTATAGTTTAGTCCAGATTCTTTACTACATATTAATCAAATGTTCTGATTAGATTACAGCTGGTTTCCAGATGTCCTTTACATTTCCCTTTTAATTCCAAGATAATTGCAATTGTTTCAAAATCACAATATTAAGTGACATTTAATTGACTCTCAAATACAACCCATAATTATTGTTATTGTATTCTTGTTGTTGATTAGTGAAATCAATTGTCACATAGTTGTCAAAAGTTTGTAAAATCCACCCCTTGCTCTTAAGGGTTAACTTAATTTAGTGGGTGGACATGTTTAAATCATTTTTCAAAAGGGCGTTTAAATGGGGATTTTTGAAATAAACAATTTTGAAAGAATTTTTTTAAACCACCCTTATTTTGTTTTTAAAATAATTTATATTTAAACAATTGTTTAAAAAATTAAACAAATTTTAATAAATAAATAAAACAGTATATTTTCAATCAACAAAAAATTGCAGACAAAAATGTGTAATTAAAAGAAAAATATTTAGTCTAATATTGAAAACAAGCCAATTAAGACCTGACTCGTCAGGACAACATCAAATTATGAAAATTTTACTACTACTCTCATTCTATGGATTATTTACAATTCGGGGTAACGTATTTAAAAAAAATCCCAAAGAAAAGTTCTTTAAATAATTCCAAACTTTTTTTATAAAGCTACTTATGCACAATCGTCTGGATCAAATAATGTTTTCAAACCCGATTTCGGAAAACAAAACCAACTTTATAAAGTGGTCACACAAAATCATGGTCTTTTGGTGAAAAATCATGTGAAACCCTTAGGACCACTGCCACCGCCTGCAGATACAGCTGAGATTTTAGAAAATCCCACAACTAGTAAAATATTTTTTAAGCCCAACTTTGGTAAACAAAAAGAGATATTTAAAGTTTCACCAAATATTGGGGGACTATTGGTTAAAAAGCATTTGAATGCTTTAGGTCCTTTGCCAAACAAACAGTTGCCATTAAGTTTTACTGCAAAGGAAATTTCAGTTATGGAAATATCGAATAATACTACAGATTTTGAAACTGTGCTAGAACACATACCACCAGAAGAATATGTCGATATAAATTTTGGGGACTTAATAATAGAGGAATTTTCGAATGATACGACGAATGAAATTGCGGAACTTACAACCAGTATTGATTACGATGAGGATTGGTTTACAGAGAATTTGGAATCAGAAGATTTACTTCCAGTATAGTTGTACTTTAATATATAAAAATTTATTAATAAATTAAGCAAAATCGAATAGCTCGCAATTTAACATAAATCCAAACAGCTTCCACTATAAGCAATACTATAGACTAGACTATTGACTTGACTCTAAAATAGACAATACTATAGACTAGACTATTGACTTGACTCTAAAATAGACTATAAACAAGTATACAGACTAAATATAGACTAGACTATAGACTAGACTAAGACCTAGACTAGACTAGTAGACTAGACTATAGACTAGACCTATAGACTAGACTATAGACTAGACTATAGACTAGACTATAGACTAGACTATAGACTAGACTATAGACTAGACTATAGACTAGACTATAGACTAGACTATAGACTAGACTATAGACTAGACTATAGACTAGACTATAGACTAGACTATAGACTAGACTATAGACTAGACTATAGACTAGACTATAGACTAGACTATAGACTAGACTATAGACTAGACTATAGACTAGACTATAGACTAGACTATAGACTAACTATAGACTAGCTAGACTAGACTATAGACTAGACTATAGACTAGACTATAGACTAGACTAAGACTAGACTATAGACTAGACATAGACTAGACTATAGACTAGACTATAGACTAGACTATAGACTAGACTATAGACTAGACTATAGACTAGACTATAGACTAGACTATAGACTAGACTATAGACTAGACTATAGACTAGACTATAGACTAGACTATAGACTAGACTATAGACTAGACTATAGACTAGACTATAGACTAGACTATAGACTAGACTATAGACTAGACTATAGACTAGACTATAGACTAGACTATAGACTAGACTATAGACTAGACTATAGACTAGACTATAGACTAGACTATATACTAGACTATAGACTAGACTATAGACTAGACTATAGACTAGACTATAGACTAGACTATAGACTAGACTATAGACTAGACTATAGACTAGACTATAGACTAGACTAGATAGACTAGACTAGACTATAGACTAGACTAGACTATAGACTAGGCTATAGACTAGGCTATAGACTAGGCTATAGACTAGACTATAGACTAGACTATAGACTAGACTGTAGACTAGACTATAGACTAGACTATAGACTAGATTATAGACTAGACTATAGACTAGACTATAGACTAGACTATAGACTAGACTATAGACTAGACTATAGACTAGACTATAGACTAGACTATAGACTACTATAGACTGACTATAGACTAGGCTAAAGACTAGACTAGACTATAGACTAGACTATAGACTATACTGTAGACTAGACTAATAGACTTGACTATAGACTAGACTATAGACTAGACTATAGACTAGACTATAGACTAGACTATAGACTAGACTATAGACAGACTATAGACTAGACATAGACTAGACTATAGACTAGACTATAGACTAGACTATAGACTAGACTATAGACTGACTATAACTAGACTATACCTAGACTATCACTAGACTATACACTAGACTATAGACTAGACTATAGACTAGACTATACACTAGACTATACACTAGACTATAGACTAGACTATAGACTAGACTATAGACTAGACTATAGACTAGACTAATAGACTAAGACTATAGACTAGACTATAGACTAGACTATAGACTAGACTATAGACTAGACTATAGACTAGACTATAGACTAGACTATAGACTAGACTATAGACTAGACTATAGACTAGACTATAGACTAGACTATAGACTAGACTATAGACTAGACTATAGACTAGACTATAGACTAGACTATAGACTAGACTATAGACTAGACTATAGACTACTATAGACTAGACTATAGACTAGACTATAGACTAGACTATAGACTAGACTATAGACTAGAACTATAGACTAGACTATAGACTAGACTATAGACTAGACTATAGACTAGACTATAGACTAGACTATAGACTAGACTATAGACTAGACTATAGACTAGACTATAGACTAGACTATAGACTAGACTATAGACTAGACGATAGACTAGACTATAGACTAGACTATAGACTAGACTATAGACTAGACTATAGACTAGACTATAAGACTAGACGATAGACTAGACTATAGACTAGACTATAGACTAGACTATAGACCTAGACATAAGACTAGACTATAGACTAGACTATAGACTAGACTATAGACTAGACTATAGACTAGAACTATAGACTAGACTATAGACTAGACTATAGACTAGACTAGTAGACTAGACTATAGACTAGACTATAGACTAGACTATAGACTAGCTATAGACTAGACTATAGACTAGACTATAGACTAGACTATAGCTAGACGAGAGACTAGACTATAGACTAGACTATAGACTAGACTATAGACTAGACTATAGACTAGACTATAGACTAGACTATAGACTAGACTATAGACTAGACTATAGACTAGACTATAGACTAGACTATAGACTAGACTATAGACTAGACTATAGACTAGACTAGACTAGACTATAGACTAGACTATAGACTAGACTATAGACTAGACTATAGACTAGACTATAGACTAGACTATAGACTAGACTATAGACTAGACTATAGACTAGACTATAGACTAGACTATAGACTAGACTATAGACTATACTAGACTAGACTATAGACTAGACTATGACTAGACTATAGACTAGACTATAGACTAGACTATAGACTAGACTATAGACTAGATTATAGACTAGACTATAAACTAGACTATAGACTAGACTGTAGCTAGACTATAGACTAGACTATAGACTAGACTATAGACTAGACTATAGACTAGACTAGACTAGACTAGACTATAGACTAGACTATAGACTAGACTATAGACTAGACTATAGACTAGACTATAGACTAGACTATAGACTAGACTATAGACTAGACTATAGACTAGACTATAGACTAGACTATAGACTAGACTATAGACTAGACTATAGACTAGACTATAGACTAGACTATAGACTAGACTATAGACTAGACTATAGACTAGACTATAGACTAGACTATAGACTAGACTATAGACTAGACTATAGACTAGACTATAGACTAGACTAGACTAGACTATAGACTAGACTATAGACTAGACTAGACTATAGACTAGACTATAGACTAGACTAGACTATAGACTAGACTATAGACTAGACTATAGACTAGACTATAGACTAGACTATAGACTAGACTATAGACTAGACTAGACTATAGACTATAGACTAGACTAGACTATAGACTAGACTATAGACTAGACTATAGACTAGACTATAGACTAGACTATAGACTAGACTATAGACTAGACTATAGACTAGACTATAGACTAGACTATAGACTAGACTATAGACTAGACTATAGACTAGACTATAGACTAGACTATAGACTAGACTATAGACTAGACTATAGACTAGACTATAGACTAGACTATAGACTAGACTATAGACTAGACTATAGACTAGACTATAGACTAGACTATAGACTAGACCATAGACTAGACTATAGACTAGACTATAGACTAGACTATAGACTAGACCATAGACTAGACTATAGACTATAGACTAGACTAGACTATAGACTAGACTATAGACTAGACTATAGACTAGACTATAGACTAGACTATAGACTAGACTATAGACTAGACTATAGACTAGACTATAGACTAGACTATAGACTAGACTATAGACTAGACTATAGACTAGACTATAGACTAGACTATAGACTAGACTATAGACTAGACTATAGACTAGACTATAGACTAGACTATAGACTAGACTATAGACTAGACTATAGACTAGACTATAGACTAGACTATAGACTAGACTATAGACTAGACCATAGACTAGACTATAGACTAGACTATAGACTAGACTATAGACTAGACTATAGACTAGACTATAGACTAGACTATAGACTAGACTATAGACTAGACTGTAGACTACACTATAGACTAGACTATAGACTAGACTATAGACTAGACTATAGACTAGACTATAGACTAGACTGTATAAAGTCGAGAAACTAGTTAAATCACATTCTTCTTCTTCAAAATAAAACTCCGTTGTTTACATTTCATAAAATTTTTAATCTAATTCTTATCTTTTTTTAAATATTAAACATGGAAGTTCTTATTGTTCAAGTATATTTCCAAATAAAATACAATATAATAAATTATCACTAAAATGACTAGTTTTGACACACTCATCTTTATTTAGATCCCTTTTAACATCCCGTAATCGTAAATGCCAAAAGAAATCTAGCAAAAAAACTATTTACAATAAAATTTTAAAAATCCTTCTTTCTCTGCCTTAATAATGCGCCTGCTGCTGCGTGTATTATGTTAAATTATATAATTTAGTGTCACCCATAATATCAACATCACTGCCTTCCTCATCATCCATATCATCATCATCCAAATCCGAATAATCATCGGTCGAGTAGTCGTGATGCAAGAAACCCACACCACTATCTAAATTATGGTGTCCATTTGACATGTTGCGCAATATTTGCAGTTGATGATGATGATGCTGCTGAGAACTGGTATGATGTGGTTGGTGGTGGTGGGAGTTGGTATGTAAAGATTTTCCTTCGTTATGACTACTGCCTGTAGTACTATTATTGTTGGCATGTGTCGAAGAAGATGAAGAGTTGGATGTTGTTAATGTTATTGTGGAGCCATTTTTGTTGCTACTACCACCATTGCTATTTGTAGCTCCTTCGGTACGTGAAAAATCAACCGGTTCTAAAATATAAAGAAAAGAAACGTTTGTTTGACTTGAAATTGTTGTTCCAAAGAAAACTGGATAATTTAATTATTGAAGTTTATTCTAAGACGGCCATTATTTGAAATCATTTTCTTCTCTTTTTGTGTTTGTTTTCGAGTTCAAGACGGCCATTTTGTCTTGAAGTTTTCTAAAGAAATTTTCTTCTCTAATAGTTTTGAAGTTAATGGATTTTAATTTTAGCAATATGTAGTATTTGTGGTTTATTGTCTTTTAACGAAAACTTTCTTTAGACAAAAATAAAATGGGGGTTAATTTATTTTAATTTCTCGAAACTTTTAGTTACAAAAACAAAAGTTTAATTTAAGAAAAAAATTGGTATGACGTTCATGGAATATAGTATAGTCTAGTCCTTAGTGTAGTCTTCAGTCTAGTCAATAGTCTAGTCTAATATTATAGTCTGTATTTAGTTTTTACTTCAGTTTTAGTCTAGTCTATTAGTCTAGTCTAGTCTATAGTCTAGTCTATAGTCTAGTCTATAGTCTAGTCATATAGTCTAGTCTATAGTCTAGTCTATAGTCTAGTCTATAGTCTAGTCTATAGTAGTCTATAGTCTAGTCTAGTCTAGTCTATAGTCTAGTCTATAGTCTAGTCTATAGTCTAGTTATAGTCTAGTCTATAGTCTAGTCTATAGTCTAGTCTATAGTCTAGTCTATAGTCCTAGTCTATAGTCTAGGCTATAGTCTAGTCTATAGTCTAGTCTATAGTCTAGTCTATAGTCTAGTCTATAGTCTAGTCTATAGTCTAGTCTATAGTCTAGTCTATAGTCTAGTCTATATCTAGTCTATAGTCAGTCTATAGTCTAGTCTATAGTCTAGTCTTATAGTCTAGTTACGAGTATAGTCTAGTCTATAGTCTAGTCTATAGTCTAGTCTATAGTCTAGTCTATAGTCTAGTCTATAGTCTAGTCTTAGTCTAGTCTATAGTCTAGTCTATAGTCTAGTCTATAGTCTAGTCCTATAGTCTAGTCTATAGTCTAGTCTATAGTCTAGTCTATAGTCTAGTCTATAGTCTAGTCTATAGTCTAGTCTATAGTCTAGTCTATAGTCTAGTCTATAGTCTAGTCTATAGTCTAGTCTATAGTCCTAGTCTATAGTCTAGTCTATAGTCTAGTCTATAGTCTAGTCTATAGTCTAGTCTATAGTCTAGTCTATAGTCTAGTCTATAGTCTAGTCTATAGTCTAGTCTATAGTCTAGTCTATAGTCTAGTCTATAGTCCTAGTCTATAGTCTAGTCTATAGTCTAGTCTATCGTCTAGTCTAGTCTATAGTCTAGTCTATAGTCTAGTCTATCGTCTAGTCTAGTCTATAGTCTAGTCTATAGTCTAGTCTATAGTCTAGTCTATAGTCTAGTCTATAGTCTAGTCTAGTCTATAGTCTACTCTATAGTCTTGTCTATATCTACTCTATAGTCTAGTCTATAGTCTACTCTATAGTCTAGTCTATAGTCTAGACTATAATCTAGTCCTTAGTATAGTCTTTAGTCTAGTCTGTAGTTTAGCCTTTAGTTCAGTCTATAGTCTAGTCTATAGTCTAGTTTATTGTCTAGTCTATAGTATAGTCTATAGTATAATCTATGGTCTAGTCTATAGCCTAGTTTATAGTCTAGTCTATAGTCTAGTCTATAGTCTAGTCTATAGTCTAGTCTATAGTCTAGTCTATAGTCTAGTCTATGGTCTAGTCTATAGTCTAGTCTATGGTCTAGTCTATAGTCTAGTCTATAGTCTAGCCTATAGTCTAGTCTATAGTCTAGTCTATAGTCTAGTCTATAGTCTAGTCTATAGTCTAGTCTATAGTCTAGTCTATAGTCTAGTCTATAGTCTAGCCTATAGTCTAGTCTATAGTCTAGTCTATAGTCTAGTCTATAGTCTAGTCTAGTCTATAGTCTAGTCTATAGTCTAGTCTATAGTCTAGTCTATAGTCTAGTCTATAGTCTAGTCTATAGTCTAGTCTATTAGTCTAGTCTATAGTCTAGTCTATAGTCTAGTCTATAGTCTAGTCTATAGTCTAGTCTATAGTCTAGTCTATAGTCTAGTCTATAGTCTAGTCTATAGTCTAGTCTATAGTCTAGTCTATAGTCTAGTCTATAGTCTAGTCTATAGTCTATAGTCTAGTATAGTCTAGTCTATAGTCTAGTCTATAGTCTAGTCTATAGTCCTAGTCTATAGTCTAGTCTATAGTCTAGCATAGTCTAGTCTAGTCTATAGTCTAGTCTAGTCTATAGTCTAGTCTATAGTCTAGTCTAGTCTATAGTCTAGTCTATAGTGTAGTCTATAGTGTAGTCTATAGTTTAGTCTATAGTGTGGTCTATCGTGTAGTCTATCGTGTAGTCTATAGTCTAGTCTATAGTCTAGTCTATAGTCTAGTCTATCGTCTAATCTATAGTCTAGTCTATAGTTTAGTCTAGCCTAGTCTAGTCTATAGTCTAGTCTATAGTGTAGTCTATAGTCTATTCTATAGTCTAGTCTATAGTTTAGTTTAACTTAAAGACGAAATTACATTAAATTAAATACAATTTAAAAAGTTGTTTCTTCCGTAAACTATTTTCTTAAAACCCCTTTCCAAAAACCATAAAACAAAACACTACCATTCTCCCAGTACTCACCATTCATGACATCCCTTCTTCTTAATTGTTTTTTATGTTTCATGCGTCGATTTTGAAACCATGTCTTTACTTGTGTTTCACTCAAACCCAACGAAGTGGCCAACTCTACACGTTCGGGTGTCGATAAATATCGTTGAGCCTCAAAACGTTTTTCCAAACCCGACAATTGAGGGTCACTAAAAACAGTACGTGCCTTGCGTCTGCGACAATGACGCAAAGCATTGACACCCATGCCCAAACCTAAGGCAAGTTCTGGCATGCAACCACCAGCAAACAAATGACCACCACCAAAGAGACCAGCTGGAAGAAAGAAACCAAATAAATATATCCTTTAATAGTTAGTTATAATTGAATTTTGAAAAGGATCTAAACTTGCACCCCATGAAAAGGGACAAACAACCTTTTTAAATTAAATATTTAACAATATGTGTTCGAGTGTTAATTAAATATAGTTTATTAGGTGTAAACACACTTACCTTGCGATAAAAAATAGGGATCCACCGATTTGTAGGCACCCGACGATGGTGACAAATAACCCAAAGTCATTTGCAAAAAACCATGATCACTATAGGCGGCACTGGGATATAAAACATTACTAGGGGGTGGTGGCGGTGGTGGTGCTGCAACATGTGCATGCGAATGTGTGGAGGGTGATGTTAAGACCGATGTCGGTGTTGCATGATGTGCGGGTACATAATTATGAGCCGCCACATTGTTAAGTAAGGAATTGCTGGCCGTCGGTGTTGTTGTTGCCGGAGATGTTGAGGCTGCACTACTTGCTGATGCTTGTTGTGTGGGAGTTGTTGTTGAACTTGTATTGGAATTACTTAAACGATCCGAAGAAGATTTGTGAGTTCTGTAGAGAAATTATTTGTTGACATTTTTTAAAAGCTATTGTAAATGCGAATATTAAAAACTAATTATGGACTCAGAAAATGCCTATATTTGTAATTTCTTTCTGACTTCTGTATAACTTTATCAACTTTCTTAGTAAAATTAATTTAAAGTACACCACAGTCTATGGTTAATTAATTTCTTAATAATAGTTGATATAACAAATCACAATAAATTTCCATTAGTGGTCAAGCACTTTAAGGTTTATGCGGTTTTATAGTTTCTGGTAAATATTGGAATTATAAAAATTCATCATATCACATAAATTATATTTCTTATTCCTTAAAAAACTGTAAAAACCATATTTTGTCCTATAGTGTAGTCTATAGTCTTCACTACAGTTTAGCCTATAGTCTTGACTATAGTTTAGCCTATAGTCTTGACTATAGTTTAGTCTATAATCTTGACTATAGTTTAGTTTATATTTTTTTACAATATTTTAGATTATAGTCTTGACAGCAGACTAGTGCAAGTCTTCACTGTCATCAAGTCTATAGTATTTACCATATTCTAATCTCAAGATTTGATCTTATATATAACCTTGGACTTATAGCCTTGACTATAGACTTGTCTAAAGCCTTGGCAGTCCATAGCCTTGTTACCTATTGCCTTCACTAAAGTCTAGTCTTTAGTCTTGATTAATACCCTAATATAGTAAAGACTACTAAAATCTTGATTATAATATATACTATACTCTGATCGACAGTCTTTAATGGTCTATAGTCTAGTCTCTAGTCTACTTTATAACCTAGTCTATAGTCCAGGCTATAGTCTAGTGTACAGTCTAAGCTATAGTCTAGTCTATACTCTAGGCTATAGTCTAGTCTGTAGTCTAGGCTATGATCTAGTCTATGGTCTAATCTATAGACCAGTCTTTATTCTACTTTATAATCTAGTCTAGGCTATAGTGTAGTCTATAGTCTAGTCTATATTCCAGGCTATTGTCTAGTCTAAAGAATAGTCAATATTATAGTCTATAGTCTAGTCTATAGACTATAATAGAGACTAGTCTATAGTCTAGTCTAATCTATAATTTAGTCTAGAGTCTAGTATATAGTCGAGTCTTTTTTCTATTATATAGTCGAGTCTATAGTCTATTTACTTAGTCTAGTCTATAGTCTAGTATATATTCTAGTATATAGTCTAGTCTATATTCTATATAGATATAGACTATATAGAGTCTGTAGTTTATTTACTTAGTTTGAAGAAAGAAAAAAGGAGCACACAACAGGCCCGCTGGATGTTTAGGTGCATTTCTGCGGATTAGATGTAACATATATTCTCCTTTCAAATTAACTAGAATTGAGAAATGCTTATCGATGGAACTATGACTAATACCGGTAGAATAATTTATAAGTGAATCGAACATTATCAAAATTTGCCTTTAAAAGTTTTAGTCCCGTCTTTCTTTTTGTTCATATATAACTTTAAATCGAGATTGCAATTTTAAATATATTTTGTTCAAATTAGAAATTTGGTACACAAGTGTTCTAAGGACGCACCTTATCGGACCATTTTTTCCTATATAGTGCCCCTTAAAACTGTTACTTCGTAAAGTTATACATCGATAATTTTAACAACTTCTAAGCCCTTCTCAAAAAATGCTTTAATAAGATTTTTTTGTTTAAATTGGACTATGACCCAAGGCTCCATATTAACACTTATTCAAAAACTCTGTTTGTCAACAATATATCGGTATTGGAATCAAATCGTATGTAATATTTTATAATGATAAATACATTGTTCTTTGAAAATCTGTTTAGTTTGGTTCGCTGTTGAATTAATACCCGTTAAAGGTCCTCTTCCAAAATCCAGTGTAATAGTCATACTGAATAGGGAACTCGTTATTTCCACGAGAATTGGTCCATAATTGACAATCTTTTTCTATACTTGATAAAGACTCCGTGGGATTCTTATTAAATAAATAAGGAAATTGTTATTTTCGCCTTCACCTTCTTCTAGACTTGATCAAGATTCCGTCGGATTGTCATTTTATAAATGAATAAATCGTTATTTACCCGATAATTGGTCCATATTTGATTAAGATCCACTAGACTAGATTTAAACTGCGTCGGATCCTCATTACATAAACGAGGAAATGGTTATTTCCATGAAAAGTGGTCCATAATGAAAAAAATTCTTCTAGACTTGATCAAGACTCCGTCGGATCAAAATCATATTCCATTAAAATTGACAAAATTAGAAATTAACCATTTTTTTCGAACTGCAAACCTATCAGACTTATTGACCTAACTCCTTTTGAAAATAAATCTTCCTTGGTTCCACATTGAAATTGAAAATTTATATTAAAAATGAACTATTCTTAGAAAGTGGCCGATATTATACAAGAAAAATCTAGGGAAACTTTTGAATAATACGTCTCAATTTCGAACTTAAATTACAAGACAAACGCTCACCTTTCTCTATGCATAATCCTTTGATATTCTTCCGATTCATGGCGATTATTATTATGAGTATTTGAAATCGATTTTGAATGAGAATTATTATTATTATTATATTCACTTGATGGCAGTGCTGAAGCTTTTAATTTATCACTATCACTTGAAGAAGTTTTTAAAGAATTTTTTGACGATGATTTTAATTTATTTAAAACACCATTATTGTTATTATTTTGATTGTTATTATTATTATTGTTATTATTATTATTGTTATTATTATTTAAATTTTGGCATAATATATGTTCTATGGAAAATGGGGTCTTCGCAGAGACCACGCAGGTTGTATTAGAAGCCGTTGAATTTGTATGATTTTGTTGTTGTTGGTTCACGGTTTGATGTTGCATTATTTGTGGCAATTTTGTCACTAAATTTGTTGCAGAAGTTACATTTAAATTTTCACTTATTTGTATAGACATTTTATTTGATTTTTTCTTTAATTTGTTTTTTTTTTATAAATTACTTTTTTAATTAAATGAAAATCGTTATAGTAGTTAACTATTCTTCTTTTACTTAACGTTACAAGTAGTTATTTAACCGTTATTTAGCTGTTTACTCGTTGACGGTTGCATTAACAGTGATTTAACATGAATATACCACAAAATCTGTACTTGAGTTTATAACGTTCTGAAATTTTGCAATCTTTTCCTTTGGCAGGCATCACCAGCTCTTGGTTATTAAAACATCAAGAGCTGCAGCACAAAAAAAAAAAAAAAAAAACAACCACATTTACTCGTTCATCGTTCATGCGATAAGTTGGGAAACCAACCCATAGAGAACTTTGAGTGTGTGCAATTTAATTATCCTTTTTAGTTTTGTATTGCACAACCCCCACCTTAACTGTTAAGTTTATTGTTAACCCTTAGAGGGCAGGAGAATTATTATCGCTCTAGAAACCTTCTAAAAAATATTCAGTCTATAGTCTAATCTATAGTTTAGTTTATAGTCTAGTCTATAGTTTAGTCTGTAATTTAGTCTGTAGTCTAGTCTATAGTCTAGTCTATAGTGTAGTCTATAGTCTAGTCTATAGTTTAGTCTATAGTCTAGTCTATAGTCTAGTCTATAGTCTATTCTATAGTCTATTCTATAGCCTATGCTATAGTCTATTCAATAGTCTAGTCTATAGTTTAGTCTATAGTCTAGTCTATAGTCTAGTCTATAGTCTAGTCTATAGTCTAGTCTATAGTTAGTCTATAGTCTAGTCTATAGTTCTTAGTCTAATGTCTAGTCTATAGTCTAGTCTATAGTCTAGTCTATAGTCTAGTCTATAGTCTAGTCTGATAAGTCTTAGTCTATAGTCTAGTCCTATAGTCTAGGCTATAGTCTAGTCATAGTCAGTCTATAGTCTAGGCTTAGTCCTAGTCTATAGTCTAGTCTATAGCCTTAGTCTATAAGTCCTAGTCCTATAGTCTATGCTATAGTCTAAGTCTAATAGTCTAGTCTATAGTCGTAGTCTATAGTCTAGTCCTATAGTCTAGTCTATAGTCTAGTCTATAGTCTAGTCTATAGTATAAGTCTAATAAGTCCTAAGTCTATAGTCTAGTCTATAGTCTAGTCTATTAGTCTAGTCTATAGTCTAGTCTATAGTCTAGCTATAGTCTAGTCTATAGTCTAGTCTATAGTCTAGTCTATAGTCTAGTCTATAGTCTAGTCTATAGTCCTAGTCTATATGTCTAGGTCTACATAGTCTAGTCTATAGTCTAGTCTATAGTCTAGTCTATAGTCTAATCTATAGTCTAGTCTATAGTCTAGTCTAGTCTAGTCTTAGTCTGTCTATAGTCTATCTATAGTCTATCTATAGTCTAGTCCTATAGTCTAGTCTATAGTCTAGTCTATAGTCTAGTCTATAGTCTAGTCTATAGTCTAGTCTATAGTCTAGTCTATAGTCTAGTCTATAGTCTAGTCTATAGTCTAGTCTATAGTCTAGTCTATAGTCTAGTCTATAGTCTAGTCTATAGTCTAGTCTATAGTCTAGTCTATAGTCTGGTCTAGTCTATAGTCTAGTCTATAGTCTAGTCTATAGTCTGGTCTAGTCTATAGTCTAGTCTATAGTCTAGTCTACAGTCTAGTCTATAGTCTAGTCTATAGTCTAGTCTATAGTCTAGTCTATAGTCTAGTCTATAGTCTAGTCTATAGTCTAGTCTATAGTCTAGTCTATAGTCTAGTCTATAGTCTAGTCTATAGTCTAGTCTATAGTCTAGTCTATAGTCTAGTCTATAGTCTAGTCTATAGTCTAGTCTATAGTCTAGTCTATAGTCTAGTCTATAGTCTAGTCTATAGTCTAGTCTATAGTCTAGTCTATAGTCTAGTATAGTCTAGTCTATAGTCTAGTCTATAGTCTAGTCTATAGTCTAGTCTAGTCTAGTATAGTCTAGTCTAGTCTATAGTCTAGTCTATAGTCTAGTCTATAGTCTAGTCTATAGTCTAGTCTATAGTCTAGTCTATAGTCTAGTCTATAGTCTAGTCTATATCTAGTCTATAGTCTAGTCTATAGTCTAGTCTATAGTCTAGTCTATAGTCTAGTCTATAGTCTAGTCTATAGTCTAGTCTATAGTCTAGTCTATAGTCTAGTCTATAGTCTAGTCTATAGTCTAGTCTATAGTCTAGTCTATAGTCTAGTCTATAGTCTAGTCTATAGTCTAGTCTATAGTCTAGTCTATAGTCTAGTCTATAGTCTAGTCTATAGTCTAGTCTATAGTCTAGTCTATAGTCTAGTCTATAGTCTAGTCTATAGTCTAGTCTATAGTCTAGTCTATAGTCTAGTCTATAGTCTAGTCTATAGTCTAGTCTATAGTCTAGTCTATAGTCTAGTCTATAGTCTAGTCTATAGTCTAGTCTATAGTCTAGTCTATAGTCTAGTCTATAGTCTAGTCTATAGTCTAGTCTATAGTCTAGTCTATAGTCTAGTCTATAGTCTAGTCTATAGTCTAGTCTATAGTCTAGTCTATAGTCTAGTCTATAGTCTAGTCTATAGTCTAGTCTATAGTCTAGTCTATAGTCTAGTCTATAGTCTAGTCTATAGTCTAGTCTATAGTCTAGTCTATAGTCTAGTCTATAGTCTATTCTATAGTTTAGTCTATAGTCTAGTCTATAGTCTAGTCTATAGTCTAGTCTATAGTCTAGTCTATAGTCTATTCTATAGTCTATTCTATAGCCTATGCTATAGTGTATTCAATAGTCTAGTCTATAGTTTAGTCTATAGTCTAGTCTATAGTCTAGTCTAGTCTATAGTCTAGTCTATAGTCTAGTCTATAGTCTAGTCTATAGTGTAGTCGATAGTCTAGTCTATAGTCTAGTCTATAGTCTAGGTCTATAGTCTAGTCTATAGTCTAGTCTATAGTCTAGTCTATAGTCTATAGTCTAGTCTATAGTCTAGTCTATAGTCCTAGTCCTATAGTCTAGTCTATAGTCTAGTCTATAGTCTAGTCTATAGTCTAGTCTATAGTCTAGTCTATAGTCTAGTCTATAGTCTAGTCTATAGTCCTAGTCTATAGTCTAGGTCTATAGTCTAGTCCTATAGTCTAGTCTATAGTCTAGTCTATAGTCTAGTCTATAGTCTAGTCTATAGTCTAGTCTATAGTCTAGTCTATAGTCTAGTCTATAGTCTAGTCTATAGTCTAGTCCATAGTCTAGTCTATAGTCTAGTCTATAGTCTAGTCTTATAGTCTAATCTATAGTCTAGTCTATAGTCTAGTCTATAGTCTTGTCTATAGTCTAGTCTATAGTCTAGTCTATAGTCTAGTCTATGGTCTAGTCTATAGTCTATAGACTAGTCTATAGTCTAGTCTATAGACTAATCTATAGTCTAGTCTATAATCTAGTCTATAGACTAGTATAAGTCTAATCTAGTCTATAGGCTATCTTATTTAGCCTAGTCTATAGTGTAATCTATAGTTGACTCGTAAAAACTTTTTCTAGTACTCTTTCACATCTCCATGGGTTAAAAACATTATATGATGCAGGGCAGTTTATATGCTTTATAACAAACATTATCTCCATTTAAAAATCATCCCTGTTTTCTTCAATAAATGGAAAAAATTTATATTACACTCAGTCACACACACACCCCAAATATACGCAAATTGTAAACGCCCCTTTTGTATGCTATCAAATCCTTTACCACGCAAACAGCCTATAGCTGTCTCTTTCTTGAAATTTTCTTCCCACTCTACCCTTATATAAAGGTCCTTAAAAATTTCAATAGAATTATTTTATCGTTATATTTTTATATAATTTTTTTTTTTCATCTACTACATGTGTAATTCCCCAATTAGTGTGTTATTTTAGTCTTAACTAGGTTATATAGTCTCTCGATTTCGGTTCTTGGTACTAAACTCACTCACACAACCATTTTTAAGTGTATGTATGCATGTATCTGTGTTTTAAATATAAAAAATTTCTGTTTTTCATTCCTTTATTTATCATGTCAAAGTATTTTTTCACTTCATTAAGTAGGTATTATATAAATGTGTGTATGTGTGGATATGGACTAGAGTATTTGGTACCAAAAAAAGGTACTTTTTTAAAGATAGACTAAACTAGGATGAAGGCTAGGACTAAGGTCAAGATTATAAAATAGACTATAGTACAGATTATTGACTATACCTTAATCCATTATTAACTAAAGGAAATTCTAAACTATAAACCAGAATAAACTATAGTCCAGACTATACATGTAATAGACTAGACTATAGACTAAATTATAGATTAATATATAGTCCTGACTATATATTAAACTATAGTTTAGGTATAAACCAAACCATTGTCCTGACAAAGATTAAACTATAGTTCATACTATAAACTAACTACAATAACTAAAGTCTTCAATATCGTCCATACTGTAGACTAAACTATGCTCCTGGCTATAGACCAAACCACGAACCATAAATACTATAGGACATTACTTCAGACCAGCCTGACTATAACTAGAGCATATATCAACCTAATGATTTAGCTATTGTTTCAGAATAAAGACTAAATTATAGACATAGTCATCATTACGGACCAAACTATAGTCCAGATTATAGAGTCAGCTGTAATGCACACTTAAAACTAGGTCGGTGTCCAGCCTATAGACTGAAATTCAGTGCTAGACAATGGTCTAATATAAGTCTAATCTATATTCCAATCAGGACTATAGTCCAGACTACAGCCTCAATTGAAGTCTAGTCTATAGTCTAGTCGATAGTGCAGTCTCTAGTCTAGTCTGTAGTGTAGTCTATAGTGTAATCTATAGTCCAGTCTTTAGTTTAGTTTTTAGTGTATTCTATAGTCTAGTCTATAACCTAGTCTGTAGCTTAGTCTACAGTCTAGTTTATAGTGTAGTACTTATATAGACTTAGTACCATTTTCCAATTTCATGACCACCATTTTAACACGTAGCATTGCGCAAATCTATTACAAATACACATATTCTTCACACGAATACAAAATCGTATACCATCCTTAATTGTAGTCGTCGTTCTCAGTTTGCTTGTCGTTTAGTATGTATGAGTGCTACTAGTATTTTGTGAAAGTAGTGAGTGGGTGTTGTACTACTATAGTAGCATCCAAACAGC